TTTGGGTAACCCCCGTGGGTCAGGCTTAATCAGAAAATAACCTTTCCAGTTGACAAAAATAATTTCCAGTGAAGTGAAAGTTTCACTGTTGAACAGGGAACTGGAAATCAGCTCCCAGCACAGTATTTATTAAAAATACCCATTTTGCAAACCCTGTTAAGTCCCACAAACTGAAGCCATTTGGCAAGTTAATAACATTGGCAACTGCTGCTCTTATAAACCACTAAAAGGGACCACTTTCCCCCTGTTATTTCTCATTGCTGCTGTAAGCCTTTATTTTCTAAGAACACTTATTACCTGATGTTTTTACAAAAGTAGGATATGAATGAATTTCCTCAATACAGGACCCTTCCACTGAAAGTGACTGATCTAAGTGCTGCTACCACCACCTCCTCCCCCACATCTGGAACTATTATTACTGGTCTATTATATGTAATTCCTGTTCCTAACCCAGTTGAGTAATTTGTAGTCTCTTTGGAGGCAGCAATCTTCATCAAAAAATGATATGAATGTGTTTTCATGTGTTAATGTCTCATTCTTATGAGCCACAAATGGACAGCTTCTGTTTCAGAGCAAGAGTTAGTAGGGGGTATTATTAAGTCTTTTCTATTTGCAGAAAATCAGAACTCTAAAAAAACCCACAACAAAACCAAAATCAACAAACCAAAAAAACCCCCTTCAAAACAAAACAAAAAAACAACCATGTATTTCAAACTCCAGTGTTACTATTCCTAGAAACACAGCACTGCTGTTGTTAGAAGGCACTTCTGGAGACCATCTAGCCCAACTCCTCTCCTCAACAGAGTCAACTACAGCAGGTTGCTCAACACTGTGTCAAGTTGGGTTTGGAATATCTTCAAGGATGGAGACCCCACATAATCTCTGGTCAACCTGTTCCAGTGTTTAACCACCTCTACGCCGAAAAAAACCACCCATGTTTCCTCTTATGTTTAAACAAAATTTTTCTATGTTTCAATTTGTGCCCATTGTTTCTTGTCCTGTCCCTGGGCACTGCAGAGGAGAGTCTGGCTCTGTCTTCTTTACCCTCCTTGGTAGCCCAGAACTGGTCACAGCAATACAATTGTGCCTTGCCAGTGGTGAATGGAGGGGAAGGATCAGCTCCCTTGACCTGCTGGTGATGCTCTGCCTAACACAGTTGAGGATGCCCATCTATGGAGTCTGTGTCCCCAGAAAAAACCTAGTATAAGTTTGAGGAAGCATCGCCTAAGAGCAGCTAAAACTTGATAGTCACATCACCAAATTATGACATCAAAAAGGCATATTAAATCCCAGGGATGAACAAGGCAGAAGAGGAAACCATGTGAATTTTAGTTAGAGAATGTGATGGTCATTAATTTGGTATGGGTCTTTGCAATGACTCAACAAGAAATTCCACATAGGATACAAAGGGCTTCTCCCGACAGAAGTTTGGCTTACAAACACAATACACTCCTGAAGAATTATCTGCATTTCCCTATTTAATTGAAAAATACTTACTTAGCTTCAAGCACTTTTTTTTTTTCCTTAATTCAGTTTAGTAATACAGCAAAAACATCTCCAACTGAGAAGAAATGTTATTTACTGGAACTTTGTTGCCCTTTGTGATTCTGAATACTCATCACAACCAACTGCTTCTACTTTGCAGAGTTTTCAGTGCTATAGTAGGAGGAGGTTAAAATTTAATGCATTGGGAAAGTCAAATCTCAATTATCTGGGATAATGGAGTAGAAAGAGCACATTAAAGTAAAAATGCAGATAAAACACGTTCAGATATGAACAAACAGTGAGGACATAAGAGAAAGAAGAGTCAGTGTGTTGATCCCAGAAGAAGCACTGGTGCAAGCTGGTCAGTCCTGGATGCAGCATTTAATGCTGTGAGTCTTGAACAAGCTCTGGACACAGACCATAGACATGCAGCTATTGTACTTCTGGCCACAGCTGGTTAAGCACTGCAGTCTAACTGGGCTAGGCTCAATCTGTTCCTGTATATTTGGCTCATTTCCTGATTCGTTCCACATTCTCCCAAATCCTGGTCATACACATACCAGGATACGTGTGTACACCAAACCACACTCAGACCAGTTGTCTCCTCTCCCCATTTCTGAACAAAGACAAGCAATTACAAAAGAAAACCTGGGAGTACTTGATGGTATCCAGTACTCCAAGACCTCGTACTTCTCCCCATACTTCTCCTCATTTTTGCCCCAAGTCAGTACTGGGGACCTGCCTCCACTGCTGCCCCAAATCAGTCACAGTGCAGAGATGCCACTGGGAAGGAATGGGAATGTGAAATCTAGAACATTACTCTCTGAAGGTGTCACATCCACAGGAGTGTACTTTTTTCCCCAGCAACTTCAAGAGGTGTGATTCTGATTCTCAATTCTTAAAATATCCCACTTGCACCAGGAATAACCTTTATGCTTCAGCCACATTCAGGGTGATGGAGTAATGAGCTTCCCATCTTTTCTATGTGGATGTAGCAGCTTTCTCCTCTGGAGCTAAATCACTGTGAAGCACTGTTCAGCACCATTAGAGCACCATTCAGCTCAGTCCAGAGTTATTGGCATAGCAGCAGATTCACGGTTCTCCTATAGGTATTAAATAATTTGGACTGCAAGCTGCCACAGAAAAGCCAGATCTCATTTTAATTTTCATGTAAGATATAAATCTGTGGCCTTTGCCTAAAGGTTTGTGACTCTAGCTGAAAGCTTTACAAAGGTCTGAATATTCAACTTCCTGCTTTGAATTCTTTTGACAGATGAGAGATACATTTCTTAGCATAAATATTTATATATAAACATACTTTATATATGCATGTATACACACACCCCCAGTCTTAAAATATCTCAGCATATGTGTAAGTGTAACAAACACTGTCAAAGAGTCACAAGTAACTAGAGTAACATACTGTGAGTCTGAACTGACCTAAGATGTGGATCTGAATAGAAAGGGAAAATTATTTTAGATAATGGGGCCTGGCAATTTTAGCAGTGTTCCTCCTGCACTAAAATAAGGAAGTTAAGCCTAATTGGCAATGTAAGCTCCAAGAGGTCTCAAGATTGTGAAAATGGTAAACAAAAGCTAATCTATCAAATTTAGCAAGAGGCACATTATCACTGCAGAAAAATAACGTTGTTTGTACCGTTCTATTGCATTAATGATTATTTCACAGAAACCAGAGATTGAAAATATTCATCTGCTGCTTTCCCCTTCACCCAACAAAGGGCAGGCTCATTGCCTTCCCTTTGTGTGCCTACTTTCTGCTTTGCACACAGACACTTTCAAATTTAGAGAGAACAAATATGACAAATCAGACACAGTGCATGACCCACATACTGACAACACACCAGCAACACTGACTGTCTTAGGAGTCATGGCAAGGCCAGAACTGGTTCCTGTTAACACCTCTCTGTCCTGTATATAACTGGTCTCATGCAGCACTGTATCCAAAACAGTGGAAGAACAATGTGTCTGAAGGGCAGCTTCAAAGGACCCAACAGTCTTACATCATGCAAGCCTTGCTTTTACAACCTGGTCATACAGACAGGGCCAGAGTGAGCATTATTCACCCCTCCTGGTGTAAGGGTGTGAGTCAACCTGCAAACAACAGTATTGTAATTAGCTCATCAGGCAAATTGCCTCATGCTCTCAGCCCTGAGAGCTACATACTCATTGCACACAGCGTCTCTGCTTCAAACATGGCCTTAAAAAGACCAAGAATTTAACTGCCATAAAAAGATGCAGGTAAAAACCAAAAGGGAAATAAATCTCTCTCCTACAGAAAGTGACTTGTTGGGTGAAGAGAACTCAAGAATGGTGTACTCCTAAATCTTACCATTTCACGTGAAATCATTGGATTTTAAAGTTACAGTTTGCTCTTAACCAGTTGAGGTCCATGAATCAGAAATTCCTGGCACATGGGCAATTTTTTGTCAATTGGTAGTGGGAACTGGAGCTGAGAAGGGATTAAGTGTCCTTCCCTTTTCTTTTACAACCTTCCAGAAATCTCCCTTTTGAATTGCACCCCTCCCTTCTCCCAGATCCACCAGGTCTTTGTGGGAGCCCAAAAGCATTCATGTTTAATTTTCTAACAGAGAAGAAAAATAAAGGGCTGCCTAATCAAACATTAAGGACCTGAGCTTTTTTTTTTTCTCACTTTCTGGAAAATGCCTTCAGTTTAACAAGAACAAATTAATAACTGTTCCTCTGAAGGTAATCCATGAATTGCAGGGCTGGCCATGTGATGGGGAAGAATTTTTCTTGCACCTGGGAGTAGGGGGGCTGAGTCATGGTGCTAGAAGTTAATACTATGCAACATTAAGTGCCAGGATTGCCCTCTCCCTTTGACAGACCCCTCAAAATTTAAGAACCCATACCAAGTCCACCTGTCTCTCAGATAACAGAGGAGGTCCCTCCCATTTGCCTAATTTATAAAGGGTCTGATTCAAAAGTTCTCTAGAAATATTCTCAGGAGCTCCAAAAAGAAAGCATGCACGTGATGCATGCTAAACAATCTGGGAGGAGGAAGTTATGCTCATATTCCCAGTGGAGATTTAAATGTAGATTTATTACAGACAAAATTTATTCCATCAAAATTTGTTCTCAGCCTCTGGGGACTGATTCCTCCTACACCACTCCATTGATTTTTCTACTAAAGTGCTGCACGAATGAGTCAGGCTCTCCATGTCCATTGTGCTACTTATAAAGGATCACATTTTGTTATATGGACCAGAAAATGTAGCAGAGGAAAATAAATGTGGTGTGATTTTGTACCCATTTGGTGTCTGCAGTAACCTAACAACTTTTAAAATAAACCCTGTATACTCTTTTGTTTCCATTTATAAAGACACAAATGATGGTGCCAAGGATGGTCCCATGCAGTTACATTCAGAATCAAGCTCTTTATCCTTAAAAGTGTAGGGACAGCAAGGGAATTAATTCAGGCTTACATCAACCATAGGCTTTACAAAAACCCATCCCATATAAAGGTATTTACTCACATGGTGCATAGAACATGACAAGGGTGTGCTTCTTCTTCTTCAAGGACTCCCTGAAGTCTTCTCCAGCAAGGTGGATAACACTAGTCTGTTTTTCTTCCCATGCGGGCTCAGGTGGAGGTGGTGCTTCAGGGCTAGAAAAGAAAGGAAATTAGATTGGTCTGAAAATGTTTCTGGAAGCAGACAAAGGGACATCACATCCTGATCACAACTATCATGAGGCAACTGAGGTTGAACAATCCTTCAAGGTGCCTGTGCAGTAGAAAAACTTGCTCGATATTTCCAACACCAGATAGTAACAAAAAAGATGTAAGTTAATTTCTGTAACACAATAAAAATATAATTTAAGTGATTGTACTCAGGCATATGAGTAGGAATGAAGAATAAAGACTTCCTACATTGCATCCAGTATCTGAGTGGGAAGAATATTGCTCTTCTATCACTGTGTCATCCATAAGCATGAATTGAGAACAGCAAGCAGGTGGAATCAAAAGGCAACCAATATAGAACAGCATCTTCCATTCAAACATTCTTTTTGTACTCTTTATCGCTATCATGCAAACTTCTATAAAGAATTTCATGACCTTCTCTTGAATTCAGATATTAAAGCCAGGATGCAATAATCAGCATCGTTCCACTTCGAAGACTGGGGGTGACTGAACTGGAATATTTTACCTTGATAAAGAGAATGTCAGGTTTCAATTATGACTGCACATACTGACTAGATCAGAGCAATCCTGCACATCTAGAGCGCCTCTAACAAAACTTCTGCTATTCAGCAGCTCACAGATTTCTCTCAGACTCATTAAATTCATTCCTGCCGTATCTTAAATAGTGATTACTTACATAAAATCATCAGAATGGTGCCACACTATAAAGACCTTCATATGTCGCCTTGGTAATAAATTAGCTTTTCAGACTTTCCTGTCACTTTGAATGGCATCATTTTAAGTTCTATCAGGTACATAAAAACCAAGTAGATAAAAACTTGATTTTTAAAGTCCTACTCAAGGTCACTTGGTGGACATCCACCATATTTCTGTTGATACCAATTTGCTAGTTGTTAGCAAAATAATTAGGACAGCTGGTCTGAATTTTCACACAAACATGGTGTGAACTATCATCAATCAGAGTTACAGTCAGAGGTGTGACTTCATCTCACAGACATCCCCACACTGACCTGAAACAAGCTACACAGATACTGGTAACAACCTAGTGTGGTGGCAGAGACACCACAGACAGACTGGGGACCAGAGCCAAAACTCACATGGCTACAACTAGACCACTCAGTGGATAGGTTTTCACAGGATGTTCTTTATCTCCTGCCTGCAACCCAGATGCATCCCAGTTTCCCCCACCTTCCCTGTAGCTGTGACAAGTTTAGCCCAGGTCAGCAACAAGGATCTTAACTTGGTTGCATTTCTAGTTGTGGGAGCACCTAGCAGTCAAGAGTAGGAGACAAGAAGTCCAGGTTTCCCCTGTGCTGCTGACTACCTGAGGCTGCAGACAAGTTTTCCAGAGGCACACTGGGATCCAGAAGGGAATAAACACCCTTTTCCTCCTTCTCGTTGCATCTCACTTGCTAAATGTGTACGGGAACTGTAAACCTCAGTCTTTAACTCAATAAAAATTACATAGCAATCAAAGTATTCCAACAAACTGATGAAACTAGGATGGTGACTTAACACCCATTATTGACAAAGCAGCCTGAAGCCTGAGTACACAGGAAGGCCAAGACAGTACTGTGCCTACATGTAAAATACAGTTAAAACTTCCCAACATGCTACATACAAAGACAATGCCAGGCCACATCTATATATATATATATATTACCTGATTTGAAGCACTCAGAGATGTAACTTAAAAAGAAAAAAAACACACACTCAAAAAAACCACTACAACCCTAGAAACCCTAGAGCCTCCCCTCCTCCCACCAAATAAGAGGGGAAAAATTAAGATTGCATTCCTTATGCCAACTGCACTTAACAGTTAAATGATTTTAAAACTTCACAAAACACTGGCAGGTTTTTCTCACTTTGAATAATGCAGAAAATACATTAGGCTTACAGTACCTAAAGGAAATGCATATTTTATTCCAGAACACTTGAAGAGAGAATTGTACCACCAATTTACTTATTTGAAATGAAATTATTTTCATCATATCTCAAACTTAATTCTGCATATTTTAGCACACCACCCAAGGAAAGCTGGGAAGTGCAAACAAAGGTTCTGTTTCTGTTGGTCTCACTGGCTTTCGTTCAGCCCCATGTAGCTGCTATTCTAGATATTGGCTCTGAAATGCTGGAAAGAAAAAAGTACAATTGCAGAAATTCAGTTACTAACAGTGAAATCTGCTGCTTAGTATAAAGAGGGAACAACAAATGTTCTGTTATTTTTCAGAGACATTGCTATTCCTTCTTCACTGAGAGGCTTAGGGTATATTTGAAAAATATTTATTTTGGAAAAGAATTACCGGGACAACCATGAAAAAATCCCACAGCAAATAAAGGATGTTGTGCATTAGAGACCATAATTAACATACATGTTTGTACGGCTTTGAATACTGGGATTCAATTTGGTTTTGTTAGCAAGGGATTTGGGCAGCTGATGAAGCTAGGTTTAAGATTAACTTCCTCACCAGAGCAGCCTTCAGGAGCCAGTAACTGGGAACCTGAATACTACCTTGGACTCTCAAAACTTACTTCAGCAGCCAGTCGATGATCTTCTTCTTCGTTCTGAGGTGTGGCAGAGTGTATTTCTCCTCTCCATCCTTAAAATACTTCAGAGTAGGAAATCCTGAGATGTGGTATCTTTCTGCCAGCGCCTTGTTGACAGTAGCATCGACTGCTGCCAGGACACCTGGACTCTAAAACAGAGATCCCTAACTATAAATCCCAGCAACATACATACACCCCTTTGGCAGGCAACAATGGACTTGGGGGCAATCCCTCATGATCCAGGTGCCTTCACTTTCTCAGGTACTCAGCACAGACATATGGAAACAAGCAGAGGACTGATGTAAAAACCAGAAAGGACATCTCATGGACTAAATGTAACCAGTGTTACCTGTTCTCCTCCCATTTCTGACAGGATTCATAATTCACTTTATAATGTTTAAGAGATGTTCCCAGGAATGGCATTTCCTCCCACAAATCCCAATTTCTCTCAGAAGAAACAAGCATTGTTAAAGACAAGTTTGCTCCAAAACAAATACATCTTTCACTAACTTGCAGACATCTTTACAGGGACCACCTTTAAAGTCACACTTTCCCTAACTTGCAGACATCTTTACAGGGACCACCTTTAAAGTCACAGAAGAACACTTGTAAAGTTTGATTAATCTCATTTTTGTTTTTCTTATCTCCTCCTTCTTCTCCAACAGGTTCAAAGGGACTCTAGATGTCTCCACTGAAGATGCCTGAAGTATGGGGGTGACTAATCCTACTTCTCTTATTGCATGGCATACACAGCATGAGACTGAATCAATAACACTAATACTTATATTATTGGATCTCTCTTCTCCAGCCATGCTGATGGAGCACTTAAGGTGAAGCTAATGGAGTGATGCAACCATAAAACCAGGCTATTTGAAAAAGGGATCAACCTGCTTTTTTTTTCTTTATTTAATTAATAAATAAAAGCCCATGTTTCTTCACATTATATGCCTTTAAGTATGGGGGGGAAAAAATCCATTTTGGACTTGGTCATATTATGTATAAGGCCTACAGCAGAATACATAAACATTTTTCGATTTTGTTTTTGTTCAAGACAGAATGTTCTTTCTAAGACTTTGGCAGGGTTCATGCATTAGCGATGAGAAGCACACTCTGGAAGTACATTTTGAAGGGTCCTGTGGGAGGATGAGAACAGCTGAATTTGTTGTAGGGAGAAAAGTCACTTTTATTACTCCAGTTATTTATTACTGATTATTTGAAGGATATAATAAAGGAAATTAGCTTACATCACTGGCTGCATGGAGAAACTCTGCAGCTTTCTCATATTCTGGCTTCATTTTCTTACAGTGCCCACACCCTACCAAAAGAAAAAAAAAATCCAATTAAGTTGTGCACGCCACAGTTATTCATTGACCCATCTAGACATTATCAAAATCCAGAACCATGTGACAGAGATTTACTAGAATTTAGTATGTATTTTACTTAATTTATTTGTAAAACCTTAGTATGACTTAGGATCTTCACCAAAGTGGTCACTATGGTTTAAACAAATAATTTAATCTACTTAAAATAATAATAAAGGCCCTGAATTTGCATCCACACCTCTCTCCTCCCAGAAAGTACTATAAACATTACTTGTCAAGCCCATCGCTCTTGGGCGAGGCATAACCTCACCCATTTCAGTTTCCAAATCTTTATCTGCTTTAAAAAGAAACAACACTGGCCTTCACATGACTCCCTGACTTTAAGCGGAGACTTATACTAGCACAGCTTAAGCCAGCAATTAATTTGAATTAAACTGTGCTGATAATAAGCCCCACTTTACATTGGGGCAGCATGTCCCTCTAGCAAGTATTTGCAGTGATTTAATCACAGCAGTGTAATTACACCACCACGTATGTTCTCAACGTAAGCAGGACCTGTAAAGCTCAGATAATGGTGCTTTCTTGCTTGTGCGAGTTCTCCAGAGACCTGCCATTACTCCAGTGCTAAGTGCTGACATTACAATAAAGTAAAATGAATGCATGAGCAAGAAAAGCAGACTTAAAATACATTGACTGTAAAACTGCTTTCAGCTGGTACAACTGCTTGCAGGCAAGCTGAACTTGAAGGACCAGGTGAGGTTCCTGCCACGACATGAAGCTTTGCACTCGTGGCACGATGCTGGACCTGCAGGGGAGCACATTCCTTGCCCCTGCACAGCCCCTGCCATCACCCCCACGGGACCCCACTGTGGCCCCACAGGATCAGTGGGAAGTGACAGGGAGCTGAGCTTGGGCAGGGCAAGGGCCAACTCCTGCCCACAGACACAGAGCTGCAATAAGGCCCATCGCGCGGCACTCGCCTGCCCTGCTGCAGGGTCATCTCAACACAACCCCTCTTGTTTGCAGAAGCAGCCAGCTTTTCCTTTCTTCAGCTGCTGTTGTTGAAATGGGCACTTGAAAGTCCTGACTTTGCTGAGCTTTTGAGTGTCATAGCAGAAAACACAGCTAGAAAACTGCTTCAACACAGCTTCAGCAAAGGCCATTTCTGAGGAATATGGGCAACAGGGCTATGCTGTCTGAAAAAAGCCCAACAAAACTAAACCAAAACAAAATTAAGGACTCTGAATCTCAGGGCTGCCTTGATTCCCACTGTCAGATGGCTGCCAAAGCCAGCAGACACAAACTTAAGCCTGAACTCAACCAGTCCACTGTGGTTTATATCACACAAGTCAAAGGGTGTCCACAGCAAAGAAGTGACAGGACATCCAGGTGCAACTTCACCACAGCAAACAGGGACTTCAGCAGAGCTCCAACCACTGCAGCACACCATGAAATTATTTCAGGGCATGTTTATAGCACTCAGTGGATACATTTGAATGAAGATTGCAAATCCCACCTGAGAATTACAGCAAATACCCAAAAGGTTGATTCCAGACTGAGCTCCAGTTCAAATACCAGGCAAGGTCAATGCTGTTTAGTCATCTGCACAGTGATGCTTGCATTAAAAAGCCCCATGTCCTGCTTTTGAGCAAAACCAATGCTATAATGTGGTAGGAGCGGCAGAATAAGGGAATCTCAACAGGTTTTACACTGTGGTGGAAGCACATGTGAGCATGCTGGAAGCCTCAAGTGACAGCTTTAGAGGTGAACTCAGGAAGAAGACGGAAAAAAAGACTGAGGAAGAGTTACTCTCCGTACCACTAGTCTTGGCTGAGAGCATGAAAGAGGTTGGCAAAATTATTTATTTGCCACACACAGTAAACTTGCAGGCGTATGGCTTTGTGGAAGGAGCTAACCATTCCCTTTGACACCTGCCTGAGTTGATTTATTTCTCCTTTTAGGAGCAGGGAACTTTATTAATTTTGTGCTCTTCCTCACTTGAACCTTTCCAAATTAGTTAGCTCAAATTTGTACAAAACCAACAAATTTTTGCAGGGTTAACTTCACCTTGGTGGGCTTTACACACATGTCCTCCACCCAAAGCAAGCTTCATATCATGCTGTAGATACAGTACCTACACAATCTACACTATGTTTCACAATCATTAATCTTAGATCTGATCATCCAAAAAGCAATAAACAACCTGAGTTTTCACAAACCTATACAGAGATAAAAATATAACACAAACAAATGAAGCACTTTGCCCAGGAAATAATAATAAAAAAAATCCAAATAATTTGAAATTCGTGTAAGTAATGTTTTGGACAGAGATATCCAGGCTATCAAATGGCACTATTCTGGGTTCTGTCAGGAACATCACATAGACACAGCACTACTGGCTGCCACAAAGCTAACTCACTCATGCTTAAAATAAAGGGGGAGCAGGATCAGGTCTTTAAAGACATATTTAAATGCAAACTGAAGTCCTCAAATCTTTATCATGCAATGCTTGTTCTACCCCTGACAGAGGACAGCATAGACATGACAGCCTGGAAAAAAAGCCATCACATAAAACTGAATCTGAAAGAGGGACAATGAATCTCAAGAGTTTCTCCCACAATAAATGATGCTTCTCTGGCCACCTTTATGAGAATTTTGCTATTGCATGCTACCGTCTGCTTCCACCTCCAGAAAAGGGGACATACAGATTAGAAGTCAGACCTACACACTGCAAATCAATTCATCACTCCCATGACTATTTATCCTACCTTTCAATAATCCTGTGAGGATTGCCATTAAATTCTCAAGGCCAATGAAAAAGTCATTTAAATGAATTCCAAGGTCACTGCCTCTGCTTGGATTGTTACAATAGGTTGTTCAGCACTGGCTTTATCACTCTGCACTAAGATCTTCCAGTTTTAGATGTTTTCTGTTCATAAAATGAATGGGAAAATAACAATAACCCTACAGGCTCTTAGCCCAGATGCTCCAATGTGCTGCACAAGGTCTGCTGGGACAGTGAAAGGACAGGTCTGCAGCGGGAATCTTTGATAGACGTGCTCTTACAAAGACACACTCTTGTGTCAACTGTATACTGACATTAAAACTATAAGACTAAGCAGAGGAAGCAACCTGTTTAATCCCAGGTGAGAAAGAAGAGAGAGGTCACAGCCAACAAAAGGATGCCCTGCAGCCTTCTTGGTACACTGAAACCCTCTGAGCCTCTTTGGGTCATGGCTGGTGGAAACACCTAAAGGACTTTTAAGTGTCTGCACAAGAGCACTCCCATAGCTTCAGTCGTTTCTCACAGAAGACAAGTAGCTCCCCTGGAGGTGTAAGTCAGTGGTACTCTCCATCTGGCAGCAGAAACCAGTCTGGGATACATTGCCTGGCTCTGCTGAACAGTTCTGGACAACTCCTTTGACATTGCTACACCTCATCTCGTTACTCTTCACAAAAGCAGGCTCAGGCTGCAAGGGCCAAGGCTTGAATGGAAAAGAGCACACAGACTAAGTGTAAAGAAGGAGTGCTACAAGTCAGGAAAAATAAGTCTTACAAAGCTTACAAAAAATTGGTGCTAGGACCACAAGTGCAAGACAGACCCTTGCTAAGCACTTTTTAAATGTCCCTAACTGAAGCAAGCACTATATTTTCTCCGTTTATAATCAGTCTCCTGATTTGCACTGCACAGAGTGACAAAGAGCTTCTGCCTTCACTGCAGTCACTGTCACACAGTTTAGCTCAGCTGCACTCCCAGAATGACAACAATCACAGGTCCTCACATTGCCCCAGCACAAAGAAGTCACTTACCTCCAGAATTCCACTGCAGGGCAGAGGAAAACACTCACTCAGCACTTCATCCTTCCCAGAGTGTGCCTGCATGCATGGGCAGAGGCAAAGGCCACACACAGACAGAGCGATGCTAACATGCAAGGGTGAGCAGCACACAGACAAAGGGAAGGTTAACACATGTATTTATTTTTTTTTCCCCCAAGTATCAGTATTTGTTTACAGCAGCTTGTTTGGCACCATGGCAAAGACTCAATATAGAGGACAATTGCTCCAAACGTTTTCAGAAGTGAACTAACACTAATACTTCTACTGTTAAAACCCAAGTTTTGCCTGCAGATGACAGGCAGCAAACCAGCCCAAAAGCCCCAGCTAAGCTCCTGTATATGCTGTTGTAGTGCTGTCCCCAGAGCGTAAATCTGTATTTCTCTCTGTCACTCACTGTTTGCTTCTTTCAGGTTATTATGGCTACAAAAATAAACACCATGCTTTTAGTCATGTCCTCTCATTTCAAGACAACATTGTCTGAGGATCTGCCATGTATGTGACAAGCAGGAGATAAAAGCCACCATCCAGGCGGTTGTGGACAAGGAATTTTTTACATGAAGAACCCTTGAGATAAATTAAATTGCAAACCAAGATTTTAAAGAATCATTACATTTCTGCCATCCACAGACTGCTTGAGTACTGTTATTGCATACCAGCTATTTATTATATCATGCCAGCTCTACATCCGTCTATAGATGCACACCAAGAATACCTTCAACAGTCTGATGAGAAAACATTTGAAGTACAAAGCACATCCTGCTTACAGCAAGCACATCACTGACAGTTCATACTATACCTATGGAAGACTGTGACCTCTCAACACAGCAGAATATCCAGCCCTTATGTGCCCTGTTAGCTTTTAACATGGAGTTAGGTTATAGTTGGACTCGATGATCTTAAAGGTCGTTTCCAACTAGAACAATTCTGTGATTCTGTATATACAAAAGCAAGAGTATGCACATGAGGGAGGGGAGACACAATCTCTGGAGACAGGGCAAGGATACATACAAGTCCCAGCCCTCTTATCACCTATGCAAGAACACTAATGTGCTCTCTTCTCCTATGGAAATCTTTAACAAACAAGGATTTCTTACATGTCATGTAAAAGAGTAGCTCTAAGGTTTGATACAAGGCAGATTACAGTTCTTTCACGGGT